CACCACAATGGCCCTTCAGCCTGACTACTGCAGAGGCCTCAGACTTCAGTGGTTTGTCTACAAACTGCAGTCACCAGTTTGGTGTTCTAGAGTAGGAAGGCAAAATAAAATTTTAAGCCAGCTGAAAATTTCTCCTTTCCAGGCTCCACGGAAAAGGTATTTTTATAAATAATTTGATTCTCCTGATAGACTAATTGTATCAGGAAGTGTTTTATCTTAATTAATTAATATTCCTCCAGATCATATGAACTAACTCTCAACTCAGCAGTGATTTACTTAAAAGGTAGTCATTATAGGAATATTTAGTATCAATCTTTTGTAGAAACAACCTTAATCTGTGGGGAGAGGTATGCTTTCAGCATTCAGGAGAATGGATTCTATAAATCTTAAAAAAAAAAAATCTTTCCAAGTTATGAGTGAGGATTATTTTGTGTGCAACTCAGTTGTTTTAGCCACACTGAGTTCAAAGATTTTTCAAAAAAATTTGGTCTGGCTTCCTTGATAGACCCCAAAATCTCTGGTTTTCCTCAAATTGTTATAGTTTCCAACATGTATTTTGTTCTTTCAAATATTTACGTATTTGAACATTAATTCAGATTAGAAAGGATCTAATTTCCAGTAAAAGTTCATTTACTTTCAATTTTGTTTATCATGAAATTGAGTTGGTATTATTTTTTAACTTCTCTTTAGTTATTGTTTGAAGTGTATGATGACAACCATTGGCTGCTGTTCCTCCTGACTCTGAATCTCATTGGTCCTAAATGCTATCTACCTAAAAGCTGGTGTGTCTAGATATTCATTGAAAGATATATCATATGTTTTGGGCAGAGTGCTATTTACTTAATGTGTTAATATTTGTCTTGTATGAGCAGGGTCGAGTAAAGACACCACCAAAAAGTAGCTACTTCATTATTATAGGGAAGCAGGTTATTATGGATAAAATAAAAATGTTCAGAGGCATCTGGAAGTATTTACAGTAGAGAGATGCTAAGTTTTACCAATGCTGTCTAGGAAAGAATGGAGAATACCAGGGTGTAAAATTGGAGATATTTGGGAGAGAAACCTTGCCTCCATTAAGAGAAGGGTAGTTTTATAACATTTTGGGAGTTAGCTCAGTGCAGAAGGTGATGGAGATGTTTGGGAAGAAACAGAAATGTAAGTAAGATGTATAAGACTTACTTTTACTTCCTGTTCAGATAACAGGAATTGTCATTGTGACTATTGAAGATCCTGATAGGAGTCACAAGTCACTAGGTTGCCATAGGTTTCTTTTACCAGAGGCAAGGGAAATGACTCTTTTTCCTGAACAAGTGTAATTTTTAAACTAATGTTTGGTAAATACTAATTTTGGTTTGGGCCTTTATGTTTGTTAATTTTTTTTATTGGCTATTTTCTTTTTTTACATTTCAAACTTTATTTCCTTTCCTGGTAACCTGCCCAAAGAAACTCCCTATCCCATCCCCTCTCCACTTCTTCTATGGGGTGTTCCCCAACCCACCCACCCATCCACCCACATCTGCCTCCCTGTCCTCAAATTCCCCTACACTGGGGCATCAAGCCTTCATAGGATCTGAGTGAGGTAACCCAATCACAAAAGAACACACATGGTATGCACTCACTGATAATTAGATATTATCCCCAATGCTTGGAATACCCAAGATACAATTCACAGACCACATGAAGCTCAAGAAGAAGACTAAAGTGTGGATGCTTCAGTCCTTAGAAAGAAGAACAAAATACTCAAGGGATCAAATAGGTAGACAAAGTGTGGAGCAGAGACTCTTTGTGTCTAACCAGCTGGAATCCATCTTTATCTTGAGCTGGACCAAGATTGGCAGTTTAGAATATTTGGACTCCCTGAGAAATAACTAGATTTAATCATTAGGAAAACCTGATTATTTTCTTGACATCAATATATGTTAGTTTACAAAGAGTTAAGGCATTCAACACAGACATTTCACATTTTTTTCTTTATCATAATGTAATGTATCAGCCATTTGAAATCAGAATTATGCAGCAGAAAATCATTATGAAGAACTTTCCAGGTTTGTGGACTTTTGCTGTCTTAATTAGTACTGTATACTTGCACATATCCGTGAAACTGCACTGTTTTTAGAAGGCACAGTTTATAAGTAGTCTGAAAATTCAATCATTTCAAAGACTCAGGCATTCTAATTTTATAAGATCTTTCTATGATTGTTGTATATTTATGGTATACTATGTATTTAATTGTGAGATTCACAGATTATCTCCTATGATATTTCGTTCCCTATTCTTTTTGCCTCTAGGCTTTAGTATAAAAATGTTATTTTATACTCATAAACATGTAATCTCTTCAGTAGTCTTCAATGCTGTCTGACGTTCCTGTGCATAAATGTCTATGGAGCACAGTTTTCTTTAAGGACCCTTGAGATTTTTCTCGTGTCTTGCACTCTTAGGCCCATAGTGTTAATGATATCTGAATGCTGCCTTTTTTTTTTTTTGCCTTAACATTTTATAGGTTAAAACAGGTAAGTGTTGAGAATCTATGGGGATGAATATACATTTCACAATACTTTACACAATTTGTTTTCCTATTCTTGTACACATATTAGTGTAGACATAAATCCATCTCTCTCTGCTATCTATTATTTATTATCTATATCATTTCAAACAAATGTACATGTGATTGAGAACAATCTGTTACTCTGTACAAGCACTTGAGAATCATATGTGACATTTCCTCAGATATGTCCTTACACTATGGACATCACAGTTCTAATTTGAAATGGGTTTTTCTGTGATTATTTTATTTTCATATGCTATGCTATTTAATTAATGATAAGATTTAAAGAGTATATTCCAGTTATTTTAATCATAATTCTTTAATCTTCTCAGCTTTATCATATGAACTTTATTATATCCTAATAAATATGTCTTTTCTGCCTCATACTGCAGAGTTTCCTGTGATTTTTGCATTTACTAGACTCTAAGGTTCACAGTGTTAATGATATCTACATGTTGTCTTTTTCACTTTATCCCTTGATATGTTGAAAATAGTTAGAAATTGAGATACTTTGGAGATGAATATACACTTCATAATATTTTACACAAATAGTTTTCTTATTGTTGCACATATGTTATTGTAGTTGTCTGTCTGTCTGTCTATCTATCTATCTATCTGGTTGTCAAAAATATGTTATTTCTTACAAAGACTTATGGTTCAACAAGTATTAAAAAATAATTTTTGAAAGTCACTAGGTATAAGGAAAGGCAATGGATGTGTCACTGTGTCAGACTGCATGAGCCTTAGACTAGTGACATCACAATGGCCCTTCAGCCTGACTACTGCAGAGGCCTCAGACTTCAGTGGTTTGTCAACCAACTGCAGTCACCAGTTTGGTGTTCAGGAGTAGGAAGACAAAGTAAAATTTTAAGTCCATTGAAAATTTCTTCCTTCCAGGCTCCACGGAAAAGGTATTTTTTTAAATAAGTTGATTCTCCTGATAGACTAATTGTATCAGGAAGTGTTTTATCTTAATTCCTCCAGATCATATGAACTAACTCTCAACTCAGCAGTGGTTTCGTGAAAAGGTAGTTATTGTAGGAATATTTAGTACCAGTCTTCTGTGGAAACAACCTTATTCTGTGAGGAGAGGTGTAATTTGAGCATACAGGAGAATGAATTTTGTATATCTTAAAAAAATTCTGTCCAAGTTAAGAGTGAGGATTATTTTCTGTGCAACTCAATTGATTTAACCACCCTGACTACAAAGATTTTTCAAAAAAACTTAGTCTGGCTTCCTTGATAGACCCCAAATCGCTGGTTTTCTTCAAATTGTTTTTGTTTCTAACAAATATTGTATCCTTTGGAATATATTTCTGAGTATTTGAACATTAATTCAGAATAGACAGGAACTAATTTCCAGATATGTTCATTTACTTTCGATTTTGTTTATCATGAAATTGAGTTGGTATTATTTTTTTATCATGTCTCTACATTCTTGTTTGAAGTTTGTGATGACAACTGTTGGTGACTGTTTCTCTTTGACACTTTGATTCACAGGAATCTTAAAGGCGTTCTAATTAAAGGATATGGTGCCTCTGTACATATTCTTTGAAAGAATTCCGTTTGTTTGAGCAGGTCCTAATAAAGAAACCACCACCGGATTTTCCACTCCATTATTTTGGAAGAATTTCAGTATGGATAAGAGAGGAAACATGTTCAGAGAGGAAAAAAGGAACAGATTTGGTGTGGCCAAGGCTGGGTTCCAGAGAAGAAAGAATATCAGGAGAGAAAAATGGGGCTAACTTGAGTAAAAGAAACTTTACATTCATAAAGATGGAGAGGGGACTCTACAGTTAGCATAGCATAGGAGATGGAAGGGCATGGAGAGGTACTGATATCTAGATGGAGACTTTAAAATGTACAAGTATTTTTACTTCCTATAATCAATGTTGATATCCTTTCAGGAAGCACAGGCTAGAGGCAAAGCAGTGACCCCTTTTCCTAGAGAAGACCAAATTCACAAATATTTTTTGAATGCTGGCACATTTGTTTATTTTTCTGATTTCACAGAGATCTACTTTATTATAACAGTTTTGACAACTCAGCTGAACATCACCGTCAAAAACAGAGGTCTTTGGCTTGAATTGTTTAAATTAATCCAATTATACCTTCAGAAGACAATGTATGCCAGCTGCTTATTTCTAAATTTTCATCATTCTAGATAGTTTCAATTTCTTATGACTGCCTCATTAGCATATCTTTTATGTTAAGAATTAAAATTATCTTTTAATATCTCATTATTTTTGAATTTCATACATATATTCCATATATTAACTGTTGTCATTATAAATGTTTCTATAATATTCCTCATATCTGCTCTTTCAACTGTATTTCCTGTGTTTTAATATCACGAACCCTTTAAAATTTAGTATGAACATTGGTCTTATAACTTACCCACTGAATGTTGTTCTGTCAGGTGGAGACCTGTAATGGGGTATATTATTTTTCCTATATGGAAAGCCTTGTGAAGGAAGACAGAGGAGACATGCATCGCTCCTTGCTGTGCCAAGGCCCTGTTGAAATCACCAGTGGCAACAAAAAGAATAAAAGACATCTATCCTTATTTAATGATGTCTTGGTTGTGTCTAGTAACTTGTAAGTATGTGCAATATGTGTTCCTTACAATGAGAGACTACACTTTATATGGCCTTTTTGTAAAAAGAAAATATGCTTTTTCACTTCTTTTTTTAAAAAGACTATATTTACTTGATTACTTCATGATACCAGCTTCTTTTCCTCTACCATGGTTGAGGTTCGGTGAACACTCCTCTACACGATTCTCAATTTTTTTTGACACAGGTTTTAGATACATTTTTATAACATGAATTATTTAGGGTGCTATTCTGCTATTTGAATCTGGGGAAAGTATTTCAACAACTCTAAACAGAGGCAGATGTGCAAGCACATATCAGTAATTCTAACATTGTTACATCTGACCTATGAGTATTGAAACTTTGAAGGATATGTGGACTATACAGTGAGACATGTTGTCAAAATAAAATATATAAAATATGAGAAGCAGGTGTCCTCTTGCTTGTTGCTTCCAGGTAGAAGCAAGAGTGATAATCCCTGATTAAGATCCTTTCATGCAAGTGGGAATACATGTAAGCCTCTGCACCTCATATTTTCCAAATTAGTACGAAGAGAGAAAAAGCAGCCACTGGCCCTAGTAATAGTAGCTACTAATCAGGGGAAACTGCAGGTACCAAGAAGTTCCTGGCTATGGTTATAGCCTTCATATTATTCTAGAAGGTATGAAGTTGGCACTGAAATTGTCGAGTAAATAATTTAAGGTTTGTTCTCATAAATTTGTAACTGCTTTGGGGAACGACATCAATAATAGAGTTTATTCAGTTTGAGGGGTACATGTATACTAACACCAAGTATTGGGTCTCTGTGGAAAAACATTGAAACAGAGGGCTATAAGCTATTGTAAACAGGCAGCTTTTGTGGAAATTTACCATCCTGAGTGGTCATAGACCTTATTGTAAATAGGTAGCCTTGGTGAATAATACCAACTTAGATAAGGACAAGTGAATCATAGGCAGAGTCATGTGACCTATCCCCTGTTCTGAAAAGATATCTGTACTTCTCCAGAACACCCACGCTCTGGTGTCATCCCCTTCACCACTTCCTGCCTTTTTGTGTTTATAACCCCTGTGTGAATAAGTAAAAATCATGATTTGATTTTAAAAAGTAGAATAATAATAATAAAAAAAGATTAATATTTCTTATGAACACTTTTGATCAGATCAGAGTGCTTGATAGAAAGACATATTTATAATTATTTGTTTAAATATTGGGGATAAATACTCATCTTTTTTGGATACGTGTATGAGATGTACTTTGTACATGTACTAGTGGAGCCATTGTAGTGACCTGACATGACTTCTTAGTGTACAGATAAGGACAATGGAAAATGAATTTGATTCAGTCAGACAACATGTTTGTATTAATTTTGGAAAGATTATTACAATTAATTAAGTAAAGTACAAAATTTTAACTAATATTTTTGGTATGGACATTATGGAAATAAAGCAAAATGATTATGAATTAACAAACTTAAGGGAAGAAATTCTAATGCATATAACTTTCTAAAAATGCCATACATCACAAACACACACACACACACACACACACACACACACACATATTCATAGTATAGTCATTCACCATCACAATATGTCTATTTGTGTGCATTGAGAAGCTTGTATCCAATACCTGTTTTTAACACAGGCTTTGATGAATTCTATCTATCATGGCTTGAACAGTGCCTGAGTGATAAAATTGAGGAGTACTCCTCTGCTCTAGGGCTTGAAGAACTGTGTATTTCTACAAGCAATTCAAACTACAATGCAAATCAAACTAACAGAGACACTTGATTCTCTTTCTAGGAATAAGAAGAAGTTTAAGATAAAATGTATCATCCCACTTAATTTCCTGTGGGTCATGGATGATGTGGACCTTGTCAGGAGAAATGAAAACTGTAGTTCAAAGACCCTTTTCCTGTTTTGGCCCACTGGAAATTTTGTGGCCACCTTTCGGTAAGACTTACAGTTGGATTTCTATTCACAAGATGATAGCTATAGAAAGTGTGGGGCAAAATAGTGTGTCATAATTTATAGGTTAAACCAATTAATCAGAATGTTTGCAAAATTAGAATTTATTTTAGTCCGTTTATATACAGGTTGCCGACTCTAATTTCCCCTTCTGTGATGACCCTTGTCTATAATTTCCACAACATGCATTTCACATATGAGTATATTCCTTAGTATTTTATCTGTGAGGTTCATTAGGCCTCCAAAAGATTCTTAGGGCAGAACACAGGTAAATTGTCTTCTATGTAGACATGAAGTCTTCTATGAAGAATGCTGATAAAAGAACTCACCATATCCTCCTCTTTCTTTCCCTCATAATCACACAAATTGATTTCTCTGAAATAATACTGTATAGTATAATTAAATTTGACCAATAACTCCAATATTTCTCATTTAATTTCTGTAAAACATAGTATGTAATTGAACAGAACTAAAAGTAGTTACTCGTTGAATGCTCAAGTATTTGAATGTCAGTGTAGCAGAGTTTGACTGTTGTCTAATGTTTAGTTGATGAGAATAACGATCAAGGGATAAGAGTCCATTGGATCTGCAGCTGTTAGACACATACACATTAATTTATTTGATATGATAATTGTCCAGACTCTTGTCCAGATAATTTTTTTCAGAAAGAGGAAACAATGTACACATTAGCTTATAGATAGAAAAACAAAACCTGATATAGGATTGTGAACATGGGGAAGAAAAATAGTGTATTGTGTAAGGGTTGCAGTTTGAATAAGAAAGACACGATCAACAAGATAATGTTGATGATTGTAAGACAGTTTAAATGTGTTTTCCTCAGTTATCATGCCCTTTTTTTCACTCTCAGCTCAATACCTCTGAATCTGCCTTCAACTTTGTTTATGCAGTCGCCTTAGTCCTAGCTCAGCACCCTAAATCTACCATTGGCATTATTCTGTTTCCAATATCCTGTCTGTAACCCCAGCCATGTTGAGAAAGCAGATAATGGCCTATCTGCCTCACATCTCCCATGATTGGTGAATCTTTCTCCCTCTTTAGCATAGTGAATCATTTTCTTTTCCTCATCCCCTTCATCTGCTAACCTTCCTGTGGTAAAATTAGAAGTCCTGCTGATTCTACATACCTCATTGGCCAGTAACAGTTTTATTGATCAATCAAGTACTATTGGGGAACAGGACCCTCAGTGTTTACATGAAGGTCCTGATCAAATCACTAGAACTACCCCCATTATGTCAACATGTGCCCATGTGGTTTCCTGCTATGTCACTTTTTATTTTAGTGATATTAGATGTGTTGTCTCTATATATGTGTTATTGTAGGATGAGGAGCACAGGCATCATCCACCCTTCTGATAAAAATGGTTGTAGGCAGAGTACACAGTGGGTAAGCATTTAATGGTAGAAACATGAATGTGCCAGACTTTGGTCAACAATCAGTCCACTGTTTCACATGAAATTACATAAAATTACAATATGAATATTCAGTTTGAGTGCTGGATGTTAGAATCATGACAAAAGGGAATAGAAAATTCTGATGATGAAATTACGTTACAGCATAGATAATATTTTCAGAAAGAGAAAACAATGTACACATTAGCTTACAGATAGAAAAACAAAACCTGATATAGGATTGTGAACATGGGGAAGAAAAATAGTACATTGGGTAAGGGTTGCAGTTTGGAAAGAAAAACACTGATCAACAAGATAATGTTGATGACTGTGTGAATGTGTGAAATATCAATGAGGTCTAACTCATTCAACATAAAAATCACAGTTATAAAGTATTAGCATAATTAATTCATCTGTAATCCATCTTTGAGTATTACATGCTACAGTTGAGTAATGGTGTGCTTATTATTAATTGTACCAGGAGAGTTAATGATATGACTTACAGAAATAAAGCACTAGTTTCTAGTATCCCCTGTCTTGTATGCCAATTCTGTAATTCACACGAGGGAATAAACAATATTTCTTTCTAAAAGGTGTTCTCCCTGGATTAAGTGTATTTTAACCAAATGCCATATACCTTACTTGCAGTTTAGTGTGAATAATGATACCTTTTATGTGAACCTGAACTCATGCTAAGAAGATGCTGTCTTAACTATCCTTTTATATATGAAACTAAAGCTAAGAGAAGTTGTTGGCACTGCCATAGTTACACTGCTCTTGGAAATAGTCAATCTAGACATTCCCAATTAGCTTCCACACTATTTTCGGCTTCCTGTGTTCCAGTGAAATATGTCATTGAGAAGGGCAGTTATGTGGGGAATACCATCTACCCCTGCACCCTCCTGATAGCCATTGGCTTATAATAATTTTTATGAGCAATAATCTTAAAAGTCTTAGCATTGTCAAGACTCTAATCCTGTTTTCACTTTTAATATTGCAGTTCGAAAGAACAGAAAGATCGGTGGTACTATTTTCTCAAAAGGTATTTTACTTGTGATTATACTTTAATTTTGTACTGATATGGGAATTGCAGTTTGTGCTTTATTACTTTCTTGAAAATATATTTGTTAGATTGTCTCTAAATTTGTTATTCATTAGATAATCACTGGATACTGCTTTAGATTCTCTTATCTATCACATTCAATATCTATTTCATTCAATTTTGGGAAAGTTCTGCATTCATTGTCTCCTCTTTATATTGGAGTAAACAGTACTCTTCAGTCTTACTTTAAAGTCCACTCTACAGATGTTACTCTACCGTGTCCATTCAAACCATCTGCTACTTCCTCCTTTGAGGTCAAGTAGAGTTTTGCCTTTTCCTTGTGTATTAGTCACAGAACTTAGTCTAGAGCCACAGGACCTGTCTCTCTATATTAAGAGAATTTACAATAATGACTTATGGTCTGTAGTTCAACCAAACCAACAATGGGCTGATTTGAATGGAAAATCAAAAAGTTTAGTAATTTCTCAGTCCAAGAACAATTACTAGTGGATATTCAGGCTACCATGAAGCTAGTTGATTTTACCTGATTTTCTGTATAAACAGTAATCCTGAAGAAGTAGATATCAACAGATGGTCTGGCAGTAAGTGCAAAGAGACAAAGCATGAGTCTTCCTTCTTCCAATGTTCTTATGTAGGCATCCTACAGAAGGTGTAGGAAAGATTAAATATGGAGTTAGATATGGAATTACATATGAATTAGATATGGAACTTACTTTGTTTCAGACTAACCTTTACTCAGAGATCTACTTCCCCCAATCTTTAGGGATTAATGGTGGGTGTGTTGTACCTTGTCTGGGCTTAAACTTTTCATGGCCACTATGCCTCAAGATCTTCATGTCAAGGTCCAAGTCAGAAGTCTGTGTCTTCCAGGCTCAAGATCTGGATCACAGGTGCCCCTTCCAGTTCAGGACTGTAGATGATTCCAGATGTAATCAGGTTGACTACAACCTTGCAAAAACAAGTTCTGGCTGTGCTTCCTAGGTCAATGTGCTATTGCTTGATGATGGTTTTGGTTCTGAAAAATTTTTAAGTATTCCCCAATCCTAGAACGCATATTGCTAAGCTGATTGTCTGCTATTTAACACTAAGATGGTACTTATAAAATATTAACAGTGATTATCTTAAAGTAAGCTCCTAGCAAATTCATTTTTCTATATTGTGTGTTTTTATTGTTTTTTGGCAGATGCGTTAAAGAAGCCAGAAATGATATCAAGAAAAACTTCTCACTGGAGATATTCACTGAGGACATTCTAAACTGTGACAGTGTATGGGAATATAAAACCAAAACCTATATTTCAAGTTCATGACTAGCAGTGACACGGGCGATTTATAGAATAATGGTCATAAGAAGGGGTGGAGGGCAGAGATGAGAGGAGAGATTGAAAGAATTTACAAATATGGAAAAGCTGTATGTGTATGGCATGCACACACGTGTCTGTTACACGTGAGATATAGAAAGCAATATGAAGCACTATTGAGCCACATGCTAAAGCAACAAAAAAGAGGACATATTTTTTTAAATGACTGAAAATTATGTATTGTGGTTTCAAGAGCTCTCATTGCTAAGTCAAGTATTATTATTATTATTATTATTATTATTATCAAAGTGTTTTTTCCCTGAGTTCTTATATCTCATATATTAACTTACATATTTTTCAACTATTATTTATTTTAAAATATTTGTGTCTAAACAAAAACAGTTATTATATACGATAATCTTAAGCAAATCTTAAACAAAGCAAAATATCAAGAATTAATTTTCTCTACACAACCACATATTTCATAGCATTTTATCTTTTTAAATCTGTCCTCTGCTCTTTCAGTGTGTCTCTTACCAGGCATTCTCACTCTGACTTTGGAAGGCCAACTACATAATCATGGCTCTTTGTCCTGGAATTTATTTGAGTGTAGGCATAGGGATATCTTTTCATGTAATATCTGTTTACAAATCATTCTTATTAACTTACCATTGGTGTGTGTGTGTGTGTGTGTTTATGTGTCTGTGTTCATGTGTGTAAAGTGCTTAGGATAAACCTCATGTTTTTTCACATACTTCATACTAGTTTTATCATTGAGGTACACACATAGCTATTAAATAATTGTCTATTTTTCTGATATTTATATTATTGCCCCATTTTCACTATTCAGTTTAGAGCTGATCAGGAATTATCGTGCAGAACCTTGAAGCCCTTTCCTGCTGTAAGCAGAATAGTATGTGGCTCAGAGAATCACCGTGTCTGTGATTTTTGTAAAAGCTAATGCATATCAAATGTACTTAGAGTCAATATTCTAACATGTCACTGTTGAAATTGCACTAAACTTAGCAAGGAGTGTACAATGATCATCAAGCAATTTGATCTTCATACTATCAAGTTCACACAAAACAGTAATGAAAGAGAAAATTGTAATATAAAAGTAATTTCTAACCAGTGACATAAACTAGGAGAACACTCACTAGTTGGGTTGAACCAGATCTGTCCTCAGGAGAGAGAAGTTAAGAGCAGATAGTCCTATAAGGAAGTCTTCTCTTCCTTCTGCTGCTTGATTTCAGCTATGGCAAATGCTCAGGATTGTACATGTGTTATTTCCCTGATGTCTTTCAACGCCATTGTGACTTAGATCCAATTTCTGAAAGGAAAAATTTTTCCTGATTTTCACACAGAACTCTAGTGCTTTCCTATTTTATCTTTCCATTATTATTGAAAATCATTATAGTTCAAAAGATTGGTAATAGATTCTTTTTAAGTTTTCTTTATGTGATGATATGTTTATTTCCCTTTTGTCCCTGAAGAGATGATTTTAGAACATAAAACATTCTTCTAATTTACATAAAAGTATACTCTATTTCCTTTCATTCTCAATGTTCTCTAGTGAGTATTCAGCAATGATTCTTCATATATTTGTCAATTTTTTGCTGGTTTTCTTTGATTTTTATGGTTACAGTTTGGCTTTTAGGCTTAAGGGTTATTTGAATCATCCATGTATTTCATTACACTTATAATAAATCTTTATTTTTTTCCTAAGGATTAATTAGGAAAATGTTTTTGCTATTCCTACTTAAGGATTTCTTTTTCACTGAATTTTTCCTTTTATCCTCATTATTGGATTCAAAGTTGATCCCTCAGTCTCTCTTTATATTTTAAAATATATGGATCCAGATTATTTTAGAGTCATTTTTATTTGACAGTTTCATATAAGTATATAAACCTACTGGCAAATGACCTGCATGAATCACAAGATATCCCCAAACCTCTCCCTAAGTTATGCATGTCTTCTCCTACTTTTGACTTCAAATACAAATACATAAAATACTGTCCTTCATACTTAATATTGTAGAGGTAAAAATTACATGTACTATCTTCAGGAGTCAATGCCTGTGCCATGACTGAAGGACAGCATTTTCCTACATGCCTTAAATGCCTTTATGTAATCTGTTTTGAAATTCATATCTTGTTAGTAATAGCAACAACTCATTGTTTCACATTTAGTTGATTAATATGTGATTTCAAAATTTACAGGGATTTTATTTCTATCTTATGGTATTATTTTCTTTTCTACATTAAACATATTAATATGTATTATAGAACTATTATGAAAAACCGATTCTTCCTCGTAGTGGGAACATGTGATCTATTATAAGGTTGATATTCTCTGCTGAGAATTGCTGACATATTCCTGGTTCAAGTAACCTGGCATGTTACTATAGGGTCTTGGATGAATCATCACCAAAACACACAAACACTCACAGACACATAATCACACATATAAATGCATGTACACACGTACATATACACACTCGTGCACACAAAAAAACATGTATGCACACACATGCATGTACACACACAGATGCATGCACAAGCATACACACACACACACACACACACATGCATGCACAGGCACACATACACCCAATTGTTTTCAGAGTAATAGGTTATGCCAACTGGTTAGAAGACAATAAATAAAAGCTGTGAATCAGATGGCTTATTAAGCGGTTTTCTATTTTCATGGTTCAAGGTTGTTTTAGGATAGTGAGGGGGCAGTTGTGCTACGTTCTTATTTAAGAGATTGTTTCCTAGAAACATAGAATGCTTATTTCAGATAGCTGATACTAAAGAAACAATCTTCATAAACATATTACTATAGGCTCACTGTCATACACTATGGTAATGTATTAGAATTTCCATATATCAGTGGTATCTTCTCAGATTCCTATCATTTGATTTCATGCTATTTTCTTCTTGCTGTATTCCTAAGTCTCTGGGAGAGATTCTAAATATGAGATGCAGTAGAGAGCTAATAATGCAAGCATCTTGATTGTTCTTGGGAGTATTAAGTGATGGATAATTCTAAAATACTTATTTTGTGTTACTAGTTCTATCACCATTATGTATTTCAGTGTTGTAGATCTGAATATCATCTAACTACGATATCATCTATACAGAAAGCTTGATATGGAGAGAGTTCTCACTCATCTTTTGCTCATTTTGTTTTTAAATTTTCTCTTGTTTCTGTTTGTTTTTTCTTTTCTTTCCCTTTTAAAACTGAAGGTGCTATTTATCCTGATTTTCTTAGAACTGTGCATATGCTGTGAATGAAAGTAAGGGTATAAAATGATGGAAGTCTAGGTGAGGAGGAAGCAATTTGATGTGCTCTTTGATTACCACCCTCCTTGTCTGTCTGCTTCAGATAAAAGAAAAATCAGGATGCTGAGCTCCTGTACACATGGCTACTAAGTTTTCCTTTATCATACACTACCTGTTACAGTTATGTTTGTATTCCAAGTACCCACATAGTTAATTTTGTGATAAATATGGTAGAATGACAGTCTTCCAGATTTATCTCAAGGGAAGAAAACAAGATGTTTATTCTATACTAACGTTTCCATTTTAGACTGTACGTTATAAGTAATGGTTAGCCAATAGCTAATTTTGTAATCACTAGCTTCAAAGTTACTTCATACCATTCTTCTCTGTATTTTCCATAGCCTTTATGTGTATCAGCAACAACCATTGATACAGTGAATGATGTAATTGAGAAGGTACTGCCAATGATAAGAATGCCTGTAAGTTATTTTCAAGTTACTTTGAGTTAAAATCGAATTTTGTTTTTGTGGTCCATGTTTGTGCAAGTATGTATACATATAAATAATACAGGTGATATTTAATTATGATAAATTTACAATCATAACTTACTATCTACTCCCTTTGGAACTAAAGGCATCTGAGTTATAATAATCACCTTAAGAGGGACTTTTTTCTTGAATTTCTTGTCTGCGTTTCCATAGAAATGTAATTCATAGTTAAGTTGTATTGAGCTATATTTTACTATCACTAGACAATAAATATACATTGTAATAAAGTGAAATTAATTATTCATATGTACACACCTGATTTAAAGGTTGCCTGCCAATTATACAGGGAACAAGATTTATCCTTCCTTCCTTCCTACCTTCCTTCCTTCCTTCCTTCCTTCCTTCCTTCCTTCCTTTCTTTATTTCTTTATTTATTTCTCTTCATTAAAATTTTATTACACTTCCTTTATGGGATATAACTTCTCTCCTGACCAATTCCTTCTCATTTTCATTTTCCTGTGTGTGAAGATGTAAGCATGCATGTTCTGGTGTGTTGTTGTTGTTGATTTTAATCTTTAATAAATATGTTTGTATATTTATTTCTCTGTTCTTTCTGTTTTTAAACATCTTTGTATATTTGATATTTCTGTTTTAAAATGTGCATGTGTAAGTCTTCGTAATTCTCTCCCTCTCTATTTTTCTGTGTGTGTGTGTGTGTGTTTGTACATGCATGTGTATGTGTTTTGTGTAGGTATGTGTATTTTGTATATGTGTTTTCTGCATATGTGTATTTTCCTCTCTATCACTTCCTGCAAGTTTGTATGATGACTCTCTGAATTTCAGTCTGTTTCATTGTCTCTATCTCTCTATCTCTCTCTGTCTGTCTTACTCTTTCTTCTCTTTGTATGTTTGGTGTGTGGAGTTATGAGTGTCTGCCTGTGTGGAATTTTGTCCCCTAGTGTAATACTTAAGAACTCTATGGAACAATTCCTTGGTTTAAATCGTGAATCAACACGGGAGTACAATAAATGATAACTCCAGTTAGAGAATATTATCAACTTAATCACTACTGGATGTTGCTAACAATTTCAACAGAATTTCCTATTTATATGATTTTTTTTCATATCCAAAACTCTGTATGCCATAATTATGTTATGGAACTTCTTTTCAGTATGTGACCAATTTTCCTGGTTAGACACATCTTCATCCCTTCCACAGACTAGCTATCTCTGAATTAAAGCCAGTGGTTGTGTGTATTCCTAGGCACCCTCAAATCCTCTCTGTTTTTGTCTATTTTTCTCATGTTGCCGAAGTAACCATAGCTTTCAAATATTTTTTATCATGTAATCATAATCACTGTGAGTATATGACTCTGTGGGTATTAAGTTGTGTGCTCTTGTAAAATTAAAGTTCAGTATTCCACTGACAGACTGCAGAGATCTATGTGAGTCATTTTGTAATAATATTGACTTTGTTACTCTTGATGGCTGAGTGCAATTTCTTATTCTACTGTGGATCAATAGACCAAGGTACTCTCAGAGAGGAAATGCAAGCACCCAAGGGTTTTCTCCTGAAATCAGTCCTGATGTCTCAAACCTGTGGTCAGAAAACATACCATTAATACTGGTATAATCTCCCTGGTAGAGAGCTGGAAATTGTAAATAAAGAATATCACTAGATATTTTTAAAATTGTTCTATCATATTATTTATGGTGATTTGTTCTTTTCTGCTCCTAGAACATTGAAAATTACCAACTATGGTTCTGTCCTGGCCATGAGGAAGCTCCAAGAGCACTCCAAGGTAAGTAACAGGGAAATCTAAGGAAGGACTAGCTGAGTTCCATGCTCTAAGCCTGAAATCTCAATGTTTTTATTATTCAATCATATATATATATATATATATATATATATATATATATATATAAGCAAAATAACAGTATTTCATTCATTAAATTCATATATAATAACTTTAGCCTTTAGTCACATGAAAACATGTCATTATTGAAAGATTCTGAGGTTTGTCAAAAAATAACTAAAACTTCTGAGTTTTCCACTTGGGAAATATAATGTTGCTAAAAAAATCTAAACAAACTCTGGTTATAATATTTATGAAGAAAATAACTGAAAAAATTAGTTGCTGTCATTACAAAAAATCCTACTAGGAGTCGAAATGTTTCAGTGATTCCCAACACACATGTGATAGCTCGTCACCATTCATAATTCCAGTTTCATAGAATTAAATTCCCTGGTCTGTCCTGCATAGGCATCAGGCTCAGTATGGTACAAAGATATACATCAGAGCAAAACAGTTATAAACCAAAATAAGTATAAATAAGTCTAAAATTAAAACAAAAACACATTCAAAGAGCAATTCTCTGTCTTAAAGGAAACTGGTGTCATAAGACTTCTTTTGTTTTGCATGTGTGGGAAGATATCCCATGAGCAGAAAGAAATTCGACAACTTTAAAAAATTTTCTGTTCATTCCAAACTATGTAGATTCTGTTTCATAGTGAAAATTGTAAATGTATATGTATCATGTCAGTAGGAAAAGCAAATCAAGACTTTAATTATATTGGTGATTCATCAGAAATGGACAAAATAAGGTTTCAAACACCTAGAAAACCATATCCAAAACACAGTCATACTCTCTAACATTTCTTTAGAGAAGAAATGACTTAATACATGGAAGAACATATCAAGCACCTGGATTTACTTCCAAATTTCTCTATGTATTTCTAGTGCAGAGTCAGTTTGTCAGAACAGTCTAAAAATTGTGTTGTGAGAAAAGAATTATTCTTACTGCTTCTGAGAAATCTTGACACATACAAACCAGAAAAAATTCTTCTGACCAAAGTTTCCTTAAAGACACCGAATTGTCCTTTGAGTGTGTTTTCGTGTCCTCCCTTGGTGTAGCAGACAAGAGAGAGTTTATAATTCAATGATTGTTGTTCATATGCCTCTATGGAGAAACATGTTTTTTTACTCAGCTTTGTTTTTGGTTTTTTTTTTTTTTTTTGCACTTTCCTTTGTGAATCTTCTCCTTTTTTTTAAATTGGATATTTTAGTTTTTTTACAATACAGATGTCATACTCTTTTTCCATTTCCCCTCCCTAGAAGCCCCTATCCCATCCCCCTCCTCCTTTATGCTTTCATACCATTTTGATTACATGCATGTGTTAAGTTTAGTTCTAGGATGATGGTCTAGCAATTCAATAGATGCAAATAGTCAAGAACAGGCAAGATAATAAACACAAATAGTCAAAGAAAAAGCAAGGCGTTAAACTCACTTATGAGCACAGCCCTGTGATTGAGCACTGTTTCTAAGAGCTTCAGGATGACCAAAGTATCTGAGCCTACTTCCCTGTCCTAGGCCAAGTTCATTTTCATGTCTGAAGCCTATTTCTTTGTTTTAGCCTAAAATTTAGATTCCTGTCTAAAATTGTTTCTTTGTTCTAGCTTAATATTGACATGGCTAATATAATTACTTATAGAGTGGTAGCCTATAAACCATATATATATATGGTAAATTTCTTATGATTTCAAAATCTTATTAATATCTAGACTATAACAGGCAGGTCTTAATACTGTCAATGTAGAACACAGCAAATGTCTGTCATACAAAGTGCTCTGATGGGTCTATATGAAGTGATCAATTGAAATTTTTCTCCTCGATTTTAGTTTTCAGCATACACATCCTTTCTTTATCATAATATTCTTGTAAATCTCCTAATCCTTAGAGTGTTCAGTCTACATTGTCCAGAAGAAGAATGAGACATAAAATGTAGCAGTGCATGTTAAATCCCACTAGAAGGTTTCCTCATATTCTTTATTATTAGTTTCAAACCATATTCTTTTTTAGTGGATATTTTATTTACATTTCAGATGTTATCCCCTTACCTCATTTCCCCCTCCTGCCCATGAACCCCCATCCCATCCCACCTCCTCCTGCTTCTATGAGGATGTGCCCCTACCTACACCCCAATTCCCACCTCCCCACCATCGAATTCCCCCATAAGTTGGGACCAACAAGGCCATCCTCCCCTAAATATACAGCTGGTGCCATGAGTTCCTCCAATTGTGCTCTCAGGCTGGTGGTTTAGACTCTGGGAGCTCTGGTATGTTGGTATTGTACTCCTCACAGGGCTGCAAACCTGTTCAGCTCCTTCAGTCTTCTTTCTGACTCCTCCATTGGGAACCACTTGATCAGTTCAATGGTTAGCTGTGAACATCCACCTCTGAATATGTCAGACTCTCGCAGACCTCTAAGGAGAAAACTATATCAAGCTCCTGTCAGCATGCACTTCCTGACATTGTCTACCTTTGGTGACTGCACATGGGATGGATACCTAGGTGGAATGGTCTCATACTTTGTCTCTATATTTGCTCCATTGAGTATTTTGTTACTTCTAAGAAGCAATGAAGCACCCCCACTTTGTCTTTCTTCTTCATGATCTTCATGTGGTCTGTGAGTTGAATCTTGGGAATTTCAAGCTTTTAGGCTAATATCCAATTATTCGTGAGTGAATACCATGTGTGTTCTTCTGTGATTGAGTTACCTCACTCAGGATGTTTCTCTAGTTCCATCAATTTACCTAAGAATTTCTTGAATTCATTCTTTTTAATAGCTGATTAATACTCCATTGTGTGAATGCACCACATTTTTTTTGTATGAATTCTTCTGTTGAAAGACAACTGGATTTTCCATCTTCTGGCTATTATAAATAAGGCTGCTATGAACATATTGGAGCATATGTCCTTGTTATATGTTGGACCATCTTCTGGTATATGCCCACGAGTGGTATAGCTGGGTCCTCAGGTAATGCTACGTCCAATTTTCTGAGGAACCACCAGACTAAATTTCCAAAAGTGGTTGCACCATTTTGCAATCCCAACAACATGGAGGAGTTTTCCTCTGTCTCCACATCCTTGCCAGCATCTACTTTTACTTGTGTTTTTGATCTTAGCCATTCTGACTGGTGTGAGATGGAATCTCAGGGTTGTTTTGATTTGCATTTCCCTGAGGACTAAGGATGCAAAACATTTTTTTAGGTGCTTCTTGACCATCTGAGTTTCCTCAGTTGAGAATTCTTTGTTTGGCTCCATAGCCCATTTTATCTAGGGTTATTTGGTTGCCTGGAGTCTAATTTCTTGAGTTATTTGAATATATTGGATATATATTGGATAGCCTCTATCAGATGTGGGATTCATAAAGATCTTTTCCCAATCTGTTGGTTGCCATTTTGTCTTATTGACAATGTCCTTTGCCTTACAGAAACTTTGCAAATTTATGAAGTCCCATTTGTCAATTCTTGATCTTAGAGCATAAGCCATTGGTGTTCTGTTTATGAACTTTTCCCCTGTGACCAAGTATTCAAGGTTCTTTCCCACCTTCTCTTCTATTAGTTTGAGTGTATCTGCTTTTATGTAAAGGTCATTTATCCACTTGGAGTTGAGCTTTCTACAAGGAGATAAGAATGGATCGATGTGCATTCTTCTGCATGTTTTCCTCCAGTTGAACCAGCACCATTTGTTGAAAATGTTGTCCTTTTTCCACTGGACAGTTTTGGCTCCTTTGTCAAAGATCAAGTGAACACAGGTGTGTGGGTTCATTTCTGGGTCTTCAATGTTATTTCATTGACTTTCTTGCCTGTCTCTGTACCAATACCATGCAGTTTTTATCACTATTGCTCTGTAATACAGCTTGAGATCAGGGATGGTGATTCTTCTCTAATTAAAAGAACTATATATATAAATGAACTATATATAAAAGTTCTATATATAAAAGGACTATAAAGTTCTTTTATAGTTGAGAATAGTTTTTGCTATCCTGGGTTTTTATTCCAAATGAACATGAGAATTTTCTTTTCTAACTCTGTAAACAATTGAGTTGGGATTTTTAGGGATTGCATTGCATCAGTAGATTGCTTTAGGCAATATGGTCATTTTTACAATATCAATTCTGCCAATCCATGAACATGGTAGATCTATCTTCTGAGATCTTATTTAATTTCTTTCTTCAGAGACTTGAAGTTCTTGTCATAGAGGTCTTTCACATGCTTAGTTAGATTCACACCAAGGTATTTTGTATTATTTGTGACTATTATGAAGGCTGTCATTTCCCTTATTTCTTTCGCAGTCTATTTATCTTTCCAGAAGAGGAAGGCTACTGATTTGTGTGAGTTGATTTTATAACCAGCCCCTTTGCTGAAATTCTTTATCGGGTTTAGGAGTTCTCTGTTGGAAATTTTGGAGACACTTAAGTATACTATCATATTACCTGCAAATATTTTGACTTATTTCTTTCCTATTTGTATCCCTTTGCCTACTTTTTGTTGTCTAATTGCTCTAGTTAGGACTTCCAGTACTATATTGAATAGGTAGGGGGAGAGTGGGAAGGCATGATAGTCCCTGATCTTAATGAGATTGCGTCAAGGTTCCATTTAGTTTGATGTTGGCTACTGGTTTACTGTATATTGCTTGTACTATAATTAGGTATTGGCCTTGAATTCCTGATCTTTCCAAGATGTTTACTCATTATTATTGGTTTTAAATCATATTCTTATTTTCTTCTTATAGGCTATGAGTATCTACATGATATTATGATGACCAACCTTCAAAAAAACTTCAGTAGGTCAAACTCAAGAATTTTCACTGCTTTCCCCCCCTTGCCTGGGCTGCTTATGAATGACCTATACTCGGATTCACAGGGAAAATTCATCTTAAAGCCCATTGACTCAGCGAAAATCCAGCAGCCAAGTGAGTCCTACATTTTCCTTCAAATACCATCTCAGTTCCTTTTTGATTTGGCATATAATATCAATTCATGTGTTCATTATTTTTTTCTTGAGAGAGGAGCAGTATAGAAAACAAACCAAAAGGAAAATAATGTGCCCTAGGTCCTGCTTGAGATCTCTATATTGTGATAGCAAGCTTGATTATAGGAAGAACATTCCAATTTTTCTAGACAGATAGTTGACATAACCTGCTATGTCAAGACACCACTATATGCACGTGTGTGTGTGTGTGTGTGTGTGTGTGTGTGTGTGTGTGCGTGCACACACACACAAATTTTGTAAGACTATGATTTCAGAAGGTTTCATGATCAAAGCAGAAAATGATCTTCGAACTTCACTTAAACTATTGTATTGCAAGAGACATAGAAAATTTATATGTATGGAATTGAAGATAATCTGTTTCAGACTAGAGTGAAAGTAATCTTAGTCTCCTAGCTCAGACCCTACTCTCAGTTGTATTCACTCAAAAAGCATATTTTTGTGTGTTCTTTACACCTGTGACTGGATTTCAAATAGAGCTCATACTTAGGTTTTGGGACTTTTGAAAATATTCAAAGTAATTTTTTCAATAACAGCATAATTTCATTATTTTCTCCTTTACTCCCATATAATGTGTATACTTTTTATTGCATTCAATCTATTGTATTTCTAACAATTTATTTATATATGCATTTATAGTCTATATTTATACATGCACTTGAATTCACATGGATGTTAACAAATACACACAAACATACACACACAAACTTATGCATCATATTCAGTCTGTTTCATATTACTTGTGTTATCAGGCCTGTCTATTTTGTTTTAGACAAATAGCCAGTATGCTCTACACTGAGAAAGACTTTTTATTTTATATTTTTTATGTTACTCCTAGTTTACATTTAATACTTTTGTTTTAAGTAGCATATGTAAGATGTCATTATGGTCCAGTTTATGACAAGAAGACTTAGAAGAGAAAAATAAACTTTGATCTCAGCTTTGAACACACACTGCTGGAACCAGGGTCTACTGTTCAACAAAATAGTCATGTATATGTTCTCATGAAGGAGACATACTGATGAAGAGAGAAATTTAACAATGGTTCTTCTAAATGCTCAACAAGGAAACTCAGGATAACATTTGAAGACAATAGAAAACTGACTGATGTGAATAAAAGGGAGGGTGGATATGAAAACAGATATGACTACTGAAGCAATTGCCTGTACATAGTTCAGGAAAAATGTTCAATTAGGTATCATGTATCTTATGATGAAATTTGACTTAGACCGCATTATTTTGTGAGAATTCCCAATGGCTCATGTCTTAGAGAACACTAGATAATGTCTTAGAGACATCATTAAGATTAATAACAGTGTAGAGTATATGGAATAAGAATACATCGGCCCTACAGGATGACTACTCCATTACAATGGGGTCATTATGCAATAGAAATTTGGTTTTCTAAAAGAGATTCCAGGTAATGATCTCCTCTCCTCCTTAGATGCAATGGAAAGACATGATAAGAAACAACCTCATAAAACATCATGTTTCCATGGGAGCTCTGTGCCCCAACAAGACCAAGTGTGCACTGTCCCAAGAGTGGATAAGAGTGGAAAACTCTTTGGAAAAGAGCTGAGTGCCATTTGTCAAGCTGGCAAAATGCCTACAGCAATTCTGGTATGTCTAATATGGTTCAGCTTTGGCTCTCCTAAGAAAAATCTAATAAAAATTACTTGTGGCCTAACCTTTCATTGTTAATACTATGGTAGGATGTGTACAACAAAAGATTGAGGCACATAATCTGAGGTCCTCTTTGTTCATGACAGCCAGTGCTCTGCACCTGTGCACACCATTGGTCTGATTCTCATAGCAAATAGTGCTCTCTACTGCCTGAACTGTGACAGTTATTTCTGTTTCTTCCTCTCAGGACATCCTGTCCCTCATAAATGAAAAAGGGCCCACGACAGAGGGAATATTTAACATATCTCCCAATGGGCTAACATGCAAAACTTTAAAGAAAAAGATGGATTCTGGGGAAGAGGTGGATATAAAGCATCAATCAGTACATGTGGTTGCGTGGATCCTAAAGGTAGGGAAAGTCCTAGCATCATGTCCCCTCAGGATTCCTCTGAGTCTACATGAGTAGTTTCCTTCATCATGCATTCCCATGAGTGATAATAGATATGTGTGAGAGATATCAGGTAGCTCAAAGGTTCCTCTGCTATTCACAATATAAGGAATAGCAATTCAAACAAAAGTCTAGTCAGAATGAGCAGAAATGTAACTAAGTACATTTCATTTGATTTTTTTTCCATGCGGTCATGTGGAGTGTCACTTCAAACATGCAAACAAGTTTCAACTGGTACGCATGCCTAAGAAGACCCATTTGAATACCAGAGTTCTTCAGTCTCTGTCATTCTCTCCTTTTTTACTGAGAGGCAGGTTTTTCTTCCTCAGTATAGAGTATGTGATTCCTTCATGTATCCCTTTACTCCATATACCAAGTAGGCTCTCATGATCTGCTTGTCTCCATCTCATGAAATATTGGTACCCAAATGCAGGTCCTCATAGCTAAGAAACAGGTATTCTTAATCACTCTGCCATACCGTTAGCACAATAAAATTATATTTTCAATTTTATTATTAAAATTAAAGTCGATTATATCATTTCACTCCTACCTTTTTCTTGTTCTAAATTTGTTTCCCCTCAACCTCAGTTCTGCTAAAATACATGGCCTATTTTCATTTAGTATTATTTCTTTATACACAAAAATGAGTCCATAAATATGTTCAAACGACCTGAAAAGTCCATTATCCTTTTTGTATATGGACTATTTCTGAGCTCCCAAACTGTGATTGGCTTCGATTTTTAGGGGGATCCCTTTGGGAAACACTAGTTTTCTATTTTTTTTTTTTGTAGTATTTATGTGCCTGCAGTTCTTCATCTCTAAGTTTGTCTTCACAAGATTTACTCATTTCCAGTTAGTGTTACTAGTGTGGATAATGTTTCGTTCAGAAATTGTTTTAACAAGGATATTATATTGTCGGACTGTCAAAAATGAAGCTTCCACCTCATTTCTAGGAGATTCAATCTCAAAACAACTTTCCTGATCCTCTGGTATTCAATCTTTCTAACTCTTTTAACCAATGTTCGGAGACCAAGGTTCAGGAGTTAGCGTGTAATATGTGTGCAGTTGGGCTTGGAGCCAAAGAATATTTTGTTCTCTGTACTTGAATAGCTGTGGTTTTCTGTAATAGTCTCCATCCATTGGCAAAAAAATATTCTTTGATATATGGGTATAGGCTACCATTATCTATTGATGTATGGGTATAAACACTAGCTTAAAATATGCAACAGAGATGGAAATCATGCTTGTTTAGTGACATGGTCATAGGATATTCTCTAAGAGCCACAACCTCATGTGACCTTATGCTTGAGTAATAGACATGATTTATTTCTTTTTTTTAATAATTTATTTTTTCTCAAATCGTAATTCATTCACACAGGGGTTATAAACACAGAAGGGCAGGATGTGGGGAAGGGAATGACAATGGAGTGTGGGTGTTCGGGGGAATACAGATATCTTCAGAACCAGGTATTGTCTGGGTGAAGGTTCAGGGGACAAGTCACCATGACTCTGCCTATGACTCACTTGTCCTTATGTAAGTTGGTATTGTCTGCCAAGGCTACCTATTTATAAGGTCTATGACTACTCAGGCTTGTAAATTTCCACAAAAGCTGCCTGTTTACATTAGCTTATAGCCATCTGTTTCAATGTATTTCCACTGAGACCCAAGACTTGGTGTTAGTACACATTTATGACAGGCCTATTGCTGATTTTAGGACTATGGCTGATTATAGGCCTTCAGTGTGTAAGCAAGGCTGCCCCTGACATCTCCTCCCTTCTCTAAGTATAGAAGGGCTGTGGCAATTCTAAACTTGTGAAGGCGGGGCTAGAGGCCTGACCTCCAGTACTTGAAGGGGACCTTGTAATGGCTCCAGTCCTCCTGTGGTTGTCCAGTGAGTCATGAGGGCCATACCCGTCCCACTGTCTTTTTCCTGGAGAGGGGATACTTTTGACATCAACCCCTATGCAGTCAGGCTCGTCCCTCAGGAAACCCAGAGAGATATTTTTATCTTTTATTTATATTCCCTTGCAGTGCTTAGCCTCGCAGCCTAAGCAAGAATTAAGATCACCTGTCAGAGGGGGTTCTGGGTGGTCCCTCTCTGCTTGGTCTAGGGGCAAAACTCCCCCCTTTTAGGTTGGGTGGAGATGCGTTTTGGGAACACCCATAGACATGATTTTCTACACCTCAGAAATCAGAAAATAACTTACTATGGTTGTCTTTGTTGTAGTTTCCATGATTGTATATTTCTGGCATTGAAAAATATTCATTGATTTGAGGTAGTGATCTCTTATGTGTGCTAGTTTGCTCACTTGTCCACTAGAGACACATTGAGCTAAGAAGAATTTTTTCTGCAATCAAGCACATCTGAATATCTGTTCTTTGCTTTCCAGTTTTGTTGGATGGAACTTACTGGGTCTTCATATCAGTCAATATTCTAACTAGAGGAAAGTTTGATAGCTGTGAAAAAAGTGGGAACTAAACTCAATTTTAGAGTTGACTACATTTTGAGTCATCTCCATAACTTATTTTTTTCTGCAAAATATTTTTTCTCTCTCTGTAAGGAGTTCCTGGGATCTCTTAAAGGAAGTCTGCTGACTTCAGAACTTTATGAAGAGTGGCTTGCTGTGCCTCAAATGGTCAACAACAAACAAAAATTAACCGCACTGCAGAGGTATTGAATGGCGAATTGTGTGCACAACATCAACAAAATTGAAGTAATATTGACTTACACACATTAGAGACTATATATCACAGCACTAAAAGTACTGATAACAAATGGATTCAAATGTTCACTAACATAGAAGAAATTTTTAAGCAGAAGTGTGACTTGGATAGTCACAGTGGACCGTGCTTATTATCTCAGCTTTGTATTCCCGTTAAATTTGTCATTTTTTTCCTCTGAATATTTCAGGCAATATTTCAAGTATATATTCTTACTTTCATTTGAGTCATGGATGTTCATACATAAGAAACAACTACTCTGTCCCCTTTCTTCATATTTACAATTTGAGTAAACTTGTTTTAAAATAACTGTCTCTTTGTTCAGTCTTTTAGAAAAACTGCCACAACTGAATGCTGCCCTTTTGAGACAAGTTTTTAGAATATTGCATAAAATTGCAGGAAATTCTAGTGTAAACCATATGTCATCTTACCATCTATCAATTGCAATAGCCCCATACATCTTATGCCTTCCTAGATACCACAATGAAGTTCTGGAAAATGATATTGCCAAAAAGGTAATTAGATATGAACTTTAATTCTAGCTTGATAAGGTTTTACAATCAGAAAGGAATACAGGATGATCCTGATAGTCTGGGTTATTTTGTTGTTGTTGTTGTTGGTCTTGGTTTTGTTTTATTTTGTAAAATAAACAGACTTTTGAATGGTGTTCTTCTGTAGAGAAAGAATCATTGGTGCATTTTAAGTAAGTAAAATATAAATGGATATTTGAGCTCACTGTCTCTGCCTCTTGCAAAAATGTGATTAGAATATCATTAGACATATTCAGTGAGATAAAATGCTGTGACATGATAAAAAATTCCTGGGTACTGTGGTCAGCTATCAAGATTGAATTCTGATGTAATCAGTATATAGGATGTGAAATTCTACTTTATTTCCAAGTAGTTTCCTCCTCAAAACAAATGCAATGTAATCTAAACTTTCAATAAGATGGTGCCGAGATTCAGAGGTCCTCTTCCCTCCTTACTTGTGCCTTTCTATAAGTATCCCCACCGATATACAGAGCCATTAATGAGTCAGCTGCAATCAAAGTTACTCAGGTGAACAGTATGTATTCCATACTGGCATTGAAAATGTGAAAACTGGAAATCATCCCCTTATATGCCATTGCACTGGGTTGATCACAATTGAACATCTGATCTCACTATCATCTAACAAAAAATCCCCTCTTAAATTTAAAACCACTGACCTTTTTTGTTTTCAGAATTATGAACTCCATATTTTTACCTTCCTAGACTCATAAGTAAAATGTGATTTGCAACAATGCAATATGACAGAGACCCTCTGTGTTTTCCCCTTTTTTCCACAGATTTCTCTCATATCATTTATGATCGAAAATTCACCCAAAATTTTTGGAGTTGACTTAGTTTTATTGTGGTACGAAACGTCACTTTTTAGTCCACATGGGGCAGGAGCTTCATGTACTGAGAACACGCCATCAAACATCACAAACAGGAAGGAACCAAAACCTGGGCTCGGCAACTGCCCTAGTGGTACAACGTATACTCCTGGCCGTTATAAACCGCAGAAGTGTAGATCTGCTCCTCTTCTCCATGAAGGCATTACTGATGGAACAAAGGACTCAAGTTCCCAGAATCCTCAAACTAACGTCCAGTATATAAAGAAAACCAAGCATGCAGTCAGCAGCTGCCCAATTGGCAAGATGTGTACCCCTGGCCACTATACACTGCCAAGAAGCCCATCTCCTCTTCTCTCTGAGGGCGTGATAGGTATGTGTGCATGTTCTACTACCATAACTTAAAATTAGAATCATTTAGCAACGAAAATGTCATTTATAGCAAATAGCAATGAAGAATGTACCAAACCATGTGAAGAGAAACTTCACCTGTGTTTTATAGATAACTTTCTATTGTTAAAAATTGCCTCAAAATTTTATAACTCTTTCCACTGGTCCTGAGCTTATATAAGAGGTATAACCCAGAAATGAGATTAATCAATAAATTAAGGATAAATCACTTACTTTGATATATGAAGTATTAACTTAGATGTGCATAATATACTGAATAACAAATCAACACCAAATTGGATTTTCTCTACATTAAAACTCTGGCTATCTTGAAACTTAGTTTGTAGACCAGGCTGACCTCAAACTCAGAGAGATCTTCTTGGTTCTGCTTCTGAGATCTTGGAATAAATGCATGTGCCACCATGTTTTTCTGCTATGCAAGTCTTAAAATATAGCATAATATACCAGTATGTGAGACATATACACTATGATCTCAGATTTGAAATCACGGGTCAGGTTCAGGAGTGAAGTCAAGGGCTGTAATAGAAATGCAGTCAGGTAAGTTGTATTCTGAAGTGCAGATACTGCTGTTAATTTACAGTTGCCCATGGCTGTTCAGTCAGAAATTCACACAAGTGGAATAAAAGATTGGTACTATTCTATATCTTCAGTCTAATACCTATATGCATTTTTCAAAGCAAGAAAAAGAGTTTTTGTTTTTATACCAGAAACGTGGGCCATATACAACTAGATATCCAGTGCCTTATGAAGCAATGTCATTATTATAAGTGCTTGAATACTGATTAGTTATTTTCTGTTTATTTGTGGTGATGCATGAGGCATGCAGGATATAAAATGTAAAGGATATGCAAGGGCTAAGTGAGTACAATTACAACAAATATCGATTTCTCTTTTTTGTTAGAAACAGATAAAGGAGAAGGCAATGTGTATACAACCCAACAAGCACATTCTACAAATCCACTAGCGCCAATGAAAGAACAAGTATTTCATGAGTATCCACCCATTGTTTGCTTGAAAAGAATGCTGCCTTCTCCGCTACTTGTGAGTTTCATTTTGGATTTCTAGAGCTGTTCTATTTCATATAATTTCTGAGAACCTTTGTTCTAAGTCAATTATTTCATCAAACTGATGAATATACTATTCATGAGGGTAAGATCCTTTTAAAATAGAAATGAATTTCCCTGAATTTAGTCTTATAATTTAATGAAACGAAAAATAAAAAGAAAGAAAATATATAGTATTTCCATGCTTTACACTGATTTCAACAAAGACCCAAGCTTACCAGCTTGTTGGAAGAAATGGACTTTTGGAAGTGCCCTGCTGATTCTCCAACTGTCAATTCTTTCTGCTGCATTATGACTCTGTATTGCCCTAGAGTCTACCTTTATATCATTGCCTCTGAGATTATGCAATCTTAAAATTAATATTATCTATAGACCTTTATTTGGTTTTATCAGTGAATTAGATAAACCCATTGTTCTTTGCTATATATTGATCTTTTTATCCTAGTGGACTGTATATAATTACTATGTAATATGACTTAGTCTATTTTCAATATGCCACTAGATTTTTATTGGAAATATTCATTTACTGTCCAGCATCTATTTTAGCACAATGCCTATGCCAGTAATTTATGCTGTATGTGAGCAAGTTTGTCATGTTAGAATTACTACCCATTCCTTAGTTATTTTATAGCTGAATACTGTAATAATGTAACCAATTGAAATAGAGAAAATATGAAGTAAATCTGTGTATGTTCATCATTTTTACAGAGTGAAACCCTGAAAGAATGATTGAAATTTCCTTCGGTTCTATTTTTTTATTGGATATTTTATTTATTTACATTTCAGATGTCATCCCCTCTCTCCCTTTCCCCTCCTTCTAACACTCTATCCCATCCTCCCTCCTTCTTTTTGCTTTCATACCATTTTAATTACATACAAGTATTAAGGTCAGTTCTAGGTTGAGCATCTAGCAATATTTTAGATCCATATAGTCAATTAACAAGCAAGAAAATAAACACAAATAGTCCAAGAACAAGCAAGGCAAAAAACACAATTACATGGTTACCCCTGTGATCACTGTTTCTAAGGGCTTATCAAGATGACCAAAATATCTGAGCTGACTTCCCAGTCCTAGCCCAAAGTCATTTTCTTGTCTGAAGCCTACTTCCTAGTTTTAGCCTATAATGTAGAGTCCTGTCTGAAATTATTTCTTTGTTCTAGCCTAATATTTAGATTCCAGCCTAAAATTACTTCTTTGTTCTAGCCTAAGATTTAGATTCCTACATGAAATTATATCTTTGTTCTTGCCTAATATCCGATTCCTGCTTGAAGCCTATGTTCTTGTCCTTGGCGAATGTCAGATTCTTTCCAAGCAGCCCGAAAGGCTTTCTTTTTTTATTTTATTAATAAGACCTAGCTTGTCTTAGGTTGCTCTGACAAGAATGCCTTCCTTACCTATCATGGAGTATGCATTCTCAAAAGCAATGCCTTTTTGCTCTTGCAGACCCTTACCTGTCCTTGACTTGCCAGCTTGTTAATTTAATCACTCTGTTAAGGAGTTCATTTTAAGGTTCAAGGCATGTCCCTTGGCTGCCACCATGTTGATGTTTTTAAAGAAAAGCTTTAACATGATGAGCAGTAATGAAATTATTCCCAAGATAATAAGGGCTAGCAGGATCAAGCTATATATACAATACTTGAAGCTCAACCAAAATAGAAATAGTGACCTAAGGCCATATGTAGTTTTATCAGCAGTATCTACTGCATGAAAGCTCAGCAATGCAGCATTCTTTAAATTCATAAGCTAACTATTTAAAGTTAAAATATCCAGAGATATGTTAGAATTATGCCAAATACACTGCAAGTGTCATTCAAACTTCTTCCTAATTATAATGACTACCACTGTAAATTGCAGGACTAACATAAATCCAATGATATTTCGCATAACATTCGCGAAGACTCCTTACTCTTAAATTTTAAGCTGCCTTCCAGTAATTTGAATAGGACAAAGAGCATCAATCTGATCTTTCAAATGCCTATCTGAATCCTCTTGTTGACTAGGTCAACACATTGGCAACACTTTTTACTAAATGATTAGCAAAATAGCTATATTAACTTCTTGTGTCACAGCAATTGCAAACTAGTGTTGCTAGCAATTAATGAAATCAAAGCTGTTATACCAGCAGTAATCAAGCCCACTAACCTCTTGCTTCTGCTTAAACCTGACTCACTTCTTCCCGTACTTGCAAGCTTTTTTCAGAAGACCAATCTTCTGTGATACTCAGTGCAATAAAACAAAATCTGGTTGATAGACTTCTGTCAAAGACATGTCAGGTTTCAACACACTAACACTATTAGAAAGTACACTATCAATGCAACTTACATTAAGTAATGTAGATGAAACAAAAGTAATTGTAACTTGAAAATTAAAGGAGCCTTAACACATGTGATAACATCTGTTTGGAATCCAGATAATGCCCTAACTTTATCTTGGGTTTATCATGTACTGGTCTAGAAATCAATCTAATATGGGACATAACAGTCTTCATTTGGAAGGCTGGTTCTGGACATTTTCAGAGACATATTTGGAAGTTAGTTCATTGAATCTTTAGTTAGGCCCAGCCATCCGTTGAGTTTTGGTGTCAGAGTTCCAACATCCACATACATCCACATTTATTCCACATGATATGGTTTTGTGTGTGTGTGTGTGTGTGTGTGTGTGTGTCTGTTTTTGTGTTTCTGGGTGTATATCTCTCTGTGTTTCTGTCTTTGTGTATGTTTATAGGATTCAGAAAGTTTAAGGTCATTGAATTTAAATCTAACATATTTTCATTTTAAGATTATTTAGTGAATTTATCCTCAGATGTTATTTCTAAATAAGGTAGATCACAGAACTTTGGCATCCTAAAAATAGCTTGCAAGTACTAGAAGAAATGAGTCAGACTTTAAGCAGAAGCAAGAGGTTAGTGGGCTTGATTACTGCTGGTATAGCAGCTATAATTACATTAATTGCTAGCAACAATGCTTCTGCAATTTAAGTGACACAAGAAGTTAAGACAGCTACTTTGTTAATCAATTTGCAAAAATTGTTACTAATGTGTTGAATATACTGGAGGATTTAGATAAGGATTTGAAAGAACAGATAGATGCTTTTTATCCTATGGAACTTATTGGAAGGAGGTTAAGAACTTAAGGGTATGGAGCCATCTTGAATGCCATGCCAAATACTATTGGATTCATGATAGTTTTAAAATCTACAATGGTAGTCATTATAATTAGGAAGATATTTGCAGTGTATTTGGCATAATTTTAACACATCTCTGGATGTTTTAACTTTTCATAGTTAGCTTATGAATTTCAAGAATGGTGCTCTGCTGAGCTCTGATGTGGTAGACACTGCAGATAAAATTACCCATGGCCTGAAGTCATTATTGCTTGGGTTCTTACATCTGACAACATCTTTAGATATAGATAGTTGAAAATAAGGAGTCACAGAAGAAGGATACAAAAGTCTCAGAAGTATACTGAAAAAAGAAAGATTTCTTGAAAACACAATGTTATGATTCATAATAGAGGCTAGAAAAGACCCAAAATAAAATAGTGATTTGATCTGTGAAAGAGTATTATCCTAATTGTAACTTAGAGTGACATGCTTCAGAAATTATTCAAGGAAGAATGGAATAAGTAAAAGAGGAACATTCACCAAAATGCTTTAGTTAACAGAAGTGTGATTCAATCTAGAGGATTATCTGATTCGTAGAAAACCTTGATGGTTCAAATTGGGAAAAATGGATTTGGAACAAAATATATTTCAAAGCTAAAAAAGAAAAAGACATTCAATGTCTTCTTCATTCCTCTCAGTTATAGCTCTTCATCCATAATTGTCATGGCTCTCATTCAACTTAGAAGACATATTTTTGCTTCAGATGTTTGGATCTGTAATAATAGAAGTTTGTCCTTATCCCACACAGAATATGTTATCCATAATTGCAGAAAAGGGACAAGATACTGATGAAATATTCAGCTATGTACCAGAAGAATTACACGTCTCCCTGAGGGATAGGATTTACAATGAAGAACTGATTAACTGGAATGAGGAATGTGTGCTCACTATAGCTTCAGTTTTAAGGGTAAGGAAGTTTTCTGCATCACTAACATTCAGCATCTTTCTAGAGATGCATATGTGCTTTTGGGCCTTGAGATTACCTGGTGATGACACTTTCCTTGAACAATGGACACATGATCTCCAAATAAGATGCGTGGGATGTAAAATTCTGACAAGCTCAAAGATTCATCACAAAGACACAAGTGAACACCTTCTGTCAGAAGTTAACTTACTCATACATCAGATGGGCTTTGTTTGGCCATTACAAATGTCTCTAGTGATGTCACCTCTATAACTATACCATGTGAATTAATAGAAGAACAAGTAATGATAGTGGTAAAAGTGTGTTTTACAAAATACATGTCTTAAATTATACTTACCAAAAAAAGGTTTCCTCAGAAATAACCGTAGTACATAATAGGTAGAAGACCACAGACTGATAATTGGTTATGAAAGAGCTGGATGTTACCCTCTGTCCAATAGATACATGAAATCGTTGTTCTTCTCTACCAAAAAATAAAGCAGCACTTTTACTTTTGCCAGATACTGCCATCCTAATCCCATGTCAAATAATCAAGAGTTAGCCTAATTAGTCTAATTCAGTGAGCAGCAGTAACTCTGTAACACATATCATTATTTTAATTTCATTTGGGCCATGATCTGAGTTTTCTACTCAGTAGACTGTGGAGAAAAGACCCAAGACATCAAGACAAAGGTAAAGCTATGCAAGTAGGCATGCATAAAATCATTAGTCAAAGATACTGAATGATCCCTCCATGGTACTTGAGCCTGTCAAAAGTGTCTGACTCATATTGCCTGAGATGACGAACCTCATCATGGGAAGGAAAGTGAAGATCAATAACTGTAGGTACCCATGTGTATTCAGAGCAATTTAAAGACACAGGAACATGTGGGAGACTTCTAATTGTGGTATTTCATGAACAAAGACTGTTTTCTCTCTTTCAAACAAACTGCTGCTGACACTTAATTTAATTAGTTTAAATGGTTGAATATTTACACTTTTTATGATATGAAACTGTGAGACCTTCTTACATGTAAAATAGGGTGCTCAAGTAAGAAAGTTCACCACTATTCCAGGTGGACCTATAAGCAAGGTGTACATGTATATTATAACTTTACACTCTGTGAACTGAAAGTACTGATTCAACAAATCATATAATTAGGATGAAGCTTTTTCTTCTAAAACTAGAGTGTTACTCCTACATCTTCACCCTTCACAGAGTCTCTTCCCTTCTCCTCTGGGCAGGTTGGAGGCCCCTTGGTTTTCCTAGCACCTTATTACATCAAATGTCTTCAGGTGCATTACATCTTCACCTACTAAGGCAAATCTGTGAAGGATTTACACAGAAGGTCAACAGCTTTAGGGATAGCCCCCATTCTTCATTTTGGGAACCCATATGGAGTCCAAGCTACACAATTGTTACATATATGCCATAGGTCATGATGCAGCTTCTGTATGCTTTTTTGTTGGTGGTCAGTCCCTGATGGCTTCCAATGATTCGGTTACTTGATTTTTGGTGTTATTGTGAAGTCCCTATTTCCTTTAGGGTTCTGAATCATTTTCCTAACTCTTCCATAAGAGTTCCTGAACTCCATCCAATGTTAGGTAGTGAGCCTCAGTTTCAGTCAGCTGCTGGTTGAAGCCTCTCAGAGAGCAGTTGTAATAGGCTCCTGTCTGAATGTCCCACACAGGAGCTGGCCTGCTTTGAGACAGACAGAGATTCAGGCTGTGAAGTGGAGTGCAGATCTCTGATTACATGTTGTAGTGTGGACTAGAAGTCAGGAAAGGTGATTTGAACAGATATTAGGTTTATTTCATTGGTAATGCAGAAACAATTCTGCTTCTTTGATTCTAGTGTTAGGCAAGATCTCATAAGCTCCTGCCTGTCGGTTCATCTTTTGAGCCAAAATTTTCGGTAGGTGACAGGTTAGGAATCTCTTAAGAAAATAGAGTCTAAAAAAAAAAGAAACGAAAATAGAGTGGTCTCAAGCAGTGGTTCTCAGTCTTCCAAATTCTGTGACACTAATATATTTCACTAATATATATGCTGTAGTCATCCCTAACCATGACATCATTTTGCTCTTATTTTATAACTGATACCTTGTTACTGTTATAAATTATAACACATAATGCATGGAATATCTGATATACAGGATATATGATATGTGACCACAAAAGGGATTGTGACACACAAGTAGAGCATCACTGGTTTAAGTGCTATTTTCAAAAAAAATGTTTCACAAATACTTTCTACAGTGTATATTGACCATTTTATTTCTTGGTCTTTTTTTTCTTTACAAAAGGAGTTCATTGGAAATATAAAAGGAAGCTTACTTTCTTCAGATTTATATGAAAAGTGGCTTAGTGTCCCTGATCAGGACTCTCTGCTTGGAAAAATTTCTGCTATACAAAGGTAATGATAGAGTACTTTCTTGGGGAACTGCACAAAAATAGAAGCAATACATTTCAAAGCCACATAGGCTTGCATTCACAGGATTGTAATCTGGAATTAAGTCCTAATACAAGAGGTTCCCTTTGCTCAGACATGTAAAGTCACTTTATGAACAGGTGCATTTCTCAAGCAAGAGTGTTGCGCCATGTCTGTAATCCCACCATTTGGGAGTCTTCTACATCATAACTGTCATGGTTTGGAAGACAGCCTATGCTACACAGTTGTGTGCATGTCAGTCTAGAGTATTGGTTTGAGTACCTGTATGAGAGAGATTAATATAAGTTTCTGTGAATAATACCTGGGGGTTATTTGCATCCTAATATTAAAAGCAGGATATAGTGAATATTGTACCTGTTTATTATATGTTATCATTTGGAATATGAAGTATTACTGAGTTCGTCTTTCTCAACATAGCTACCTTAAGAAGTCTGAGTCTAGTTAACATTGACTTCTTTGAATCATTTTCCTGTATCATACTCAATAGAATGATTTCTTAGGTAACAGGAGATTTTGGCTCCCATTTCTACCCAGGACACCAGAACCTATGCATTACATGTAGCAGAAGCTTTTGTAACTACATTGAGCACAGTTACTAGCTTGGTCATTGCCCTTTATGTTCCAGAGTGTCAAAAGCATGTTACATGGATTCATACTACATTAGATATTAAATATGTCTCCATGTTGTCTAGAAAGATGGCTCACTGTTAACCTACAATATGTTTCCATACACAGAACACATATGGACTGTAACAATCTTTTTCATTCTATTTCCAGAAAACCTGACATATTTCTCTGAGTTCTGTGGGTAGCAGTTTTACATGTAGTATGCAGAATTTCACACATAATTTTTAGAAATTTCACAGAATTTTATAGGGAGAAGTGATTTGCAGAAAATATTTTAGGCAATACTTTAGCTGCATATTCTTACTTCCTTTGACTTCGGATTATACTATGAGCTGGTCTACAAAATATTTACTCCCATTTATATTTGTATTTAGAGTTTTGTAAGTAACATTACTTGTAAGACAATCAACCGTAAAATTCTCTATTTCTATGTATAGTATTCTACTGAAGATGCCACAACAAAACTTCCTCTTGCTCAAACGTCTAATTCGTGTGTTACTGAAGATCAAAACCTCATCCAAGAATCATCTAGACACCTACATTTTATCTGTCCGCATAGCACCTCATGTGCTGATAGATCCAAATTATAAATTCTTATTATATAAGAGTGACCACTCAAAAAAGGTAAGGGGATCTGATATTTCCCTTCGGGAACAAAGTCGTCAGTGTGATCCAGGAATTGGGAATAACTCAGAAAGGTCATTGATGCTAAAGGACACCCTAGAAGTGCATTATTCTGGAGTGGGAGATACATTGATCTATTTCAGGAAGTATTGGGAAGGTTGATTGTTAATGAAGGTTGTAGGAAGTAAATCATTTCTGTTTGGTTCTTTCTTTCATTCCTTTTTTGTCTACCTTTTCAGATATTGATTTTAGATATTGATGTTTTAGCCAACCATATGCTGCATGTATATCAGTAGTCCATGAGGACTACAGTGAAGCTGAAAAATATCCCGATTACCTAGTGTTTTCTTTGTTTTTTTTTATGATAGCTGTACTTTGGAGCACATGATCGTTGTGCTTCTCAGTGGTGAGACAATTATAATTATGATGTGTTCATCCCAGCTACACTGCTGGTCATCTAAAAGCACATTGCATACAAATCTATCTATCTATCTATCTATCTATCTATCTATCTATCTATCTATC